TGTTTAATGTACTCTTATGCCATACTTAAATTCTCATTGTCCTCATTTTAGCCATTATCATCACCAAGCAAGCAAACGCCAGAAGCGAAAGGTCAAAAAGGATAAATCGATAAATGAAGATTCTGTTCACTCTCCAATTTTCAATTCGCTAGATCATCTGGGTGCATGCCTACACAATACTGTGATTAAATTCATTGCTGTTACTAATCATTTAGCAGAAGCTTCAGATTCATGGTCCTCCTGGTGTCGTAGTGATTTGTCAAAGGAATTTCACTCAATGGCCCTCAATGCTTGTACATATGTATTGTCTGAAGATTTTCTAGAACAGGTTGTGATGTTATTTTGTTTATTAATTTAAATACTCAGGTATTGATAAATTGTTGACAAAATGTGAATGCAGGCAATTACTAATTGTCTCAAAGTATTATACATTTTAAATTTATTTCGATGAAATGTGTATTATAGAACAAGATTTAAGCAAATACGTATTTTCAGTAAATTCTCATCAGGCTTTACATTTACGTAATGACGAAATATTAGTCATAGGCATTTGAATTAATGTGGTTAATACAATATAGGATCAGAGTTCAGGGATGTGAATTAATGGATAACAATCGAGATGATCATAATAATAATAATAATAATAACAAGGATAGATTCATTCAAGTGTTTATATAATCTAGGCAACGGTGAGTGGATAGGTGGAATGTGCATACTAGTAGGGGTGGAGGGGAAAATAACTACTGTTACATTGTTATTAGATAATATAGTAACAATAAATTGTTACACAGAGAATAAAATGTACAACTAAAGCACAGCATGATACTGATAATACAGTTAGCATTACAAATAAAATAAAAATATAATAAGATAATATTTACAGTTATCCGGTGTCACCAGGAGAGATAACTATTTTAGGTTTGGGGCGAAGGCCAAGAGGGGAGAGGGACTGAACTAACTTCTTCTGAACACAGAGATTCTGTTGGAAAATCATTATGGCAACTGCCTCAGCTGTGCTTAGCAACCGGAGACATACGAACCTAGGGATTTGAGGTGGCACCCTGTATAGAATTGTAAAAGCTGAATTTTTTGTCAATCTTGTATCCACTAGGTGTGCCAGTATGGAACTTCTGATTGGCTTCACGACTCCTCTACCTAACCATGTCGAGTGGGCTTGCTGAGTCGTTCTACCTACGTGACTGTCTCCACATGAACAGTTAAATTTATAAATGTACATTGAAGTGGCCAGACTCAGTAGCTTATCCTTCACCTGCGTTGGAATTACACAACCAGTGGCGAATTTTAAACAGTGTTGCGGCAAAGAATGTTTTAGCTATTATTTTTCAAAGTTTCAATGCCAGCAATTCAGTTGCTGTGTCTCCTCAATGTATGTATTAGACAGAGGGCTACACAAGACTACTCACCAAATAGTGTATAAATGTGGTATGAATTGAGATCTTGAGTGAGGCATGTTTCTGGCCAAAGATATATCTGCTCAATAATTGATTTTAATTTCAGATGAATCAGCAAAACGATCATTGTTTGCTTTTTGCTATCCGACTGGTTTTGCAAATCAGCCATTATTACCTAATGCGCTTAATTTTCCCAGACACATTTACTTATACTATAATTGCTATTATCATTATTGTTATTATTTTATCATTATTAATATTATTGTTATAATTATTATCTAATACAAGAGTGTATATTACGTCGTTCCACGTTATACGAATAGTTCAGTCCAATATTCCTTTGTAGAATCTATCTTACATGAACTAAACCATGTGGAAAACACTTAGAATCTCCTCATAAGTCATTTTGTGATTGTGATATTACTGACAGCCGTGATTATTCAAAAGTTTTCATACAGGCATTTAGGCTTTGAAACATTTATTTCCCCACACGTATTTAAAACAAGCAACAAAAGTTAATAAAGTGGGATTTAATAAATTCCTCAAGTTTCAGCAGAACTCTTCATCTGGATACTCTACATACACAGGGATATATATACCAATAGAATTACATTGGGACATAAGATTGATAAGATATCAAGGATTTAGAACTAAAAAGTATTGATAATAATAGTAACAATAATAGTGATTATGCTAAAACGAGTTAAGATAATGGTAATGCTAAAAGATAGTTTTAAGTGGATCAGAAATAGTAATAATAAGATGTAGAATAAAATATTGACAATAATAGTAATAATAATTAATATATTAAACATATTACCATGGTAGATGCAGAGAGACGACCATGCCCCTTTGCACACAGAGACCTAGTTTATAAACTCTAATCGGACTAACCTCCGTAATTGATAGCATCTTCTGTTTGTTTCCCTGCTGACAACACTGAATAACTTGACAGCGTCAATATCATGTCTCTAGTCCATAAGATGCTTTGTTATTGAACTTTGAGGCACTTTCACTTCAGCTGTTTTCAATCACCTCGGCAAATGCTCCATCATGCGAGTAGACACTCGCCTTTCTGCAATGCCTATATATTTGCTTCAACAAACACTCAAATTAATATACGCAGTTTGAAGTGTCGAGGATCCGTGACTGGTATCTCTCAGATTGTTGAAGCACCCGCTTGATGGTGTTAAGGAAGATGAGTTTTGCAGTATAATAAGTTCTGATAGCTTCATCGAGTCTTCGCTTAACTACTTCTTGTTCATCATCTCATTTGAACGGAAAATTGATATATACCGATTTCTTCGGAACTGTTTGGATAGTTTTACTGGGGTTCATTTCTTTAAGGTATTTATTAATGAACTATTATTATCTATATTATTCAGCTCTAAATTCTTGATATCTTATTAGTTTTATATGTCCCAATGTTATTCTAACGGTATATATATTTATATCCCTGTATGTAGAGTATCCAGATGAAGGGTTCTACTGAAATTTGATGAATTCATTAAATCCTACTTTACTAACTTTCATTGCTTGTTTCAAATTAGTCCTTGAATTACACCTTTGATTTTTCAGTGTTTCTGGTGATTGCATACATTCTATCTAGTTGCTGTTCCTTTCACTTCACATAGCTGAATACACTTAAATAAATACATTTAGCTAGTTTAGACACTGTACTTTCGAAAATTGCATGACATGTTGGTCTTTATCTATACACGGAAGGTCTGTTTATATAACAGGTGGAACACAGTATTATAAAGTATGTACATGACTGATCAGCCCCATCAGTTTTTGCCAACTTTTCAGAAAGTTTCCACTGACTGTAACTATTGAAACTGGCGTGTAGACTTTCTATGTTGACAGTTGTTATCATGAAAACGAACTCAAACTCTGTTCGCATAGATTAAAGATTTCACTAATCATTTCAAAACTCATATGACACTTGTTTATTAGTGTCTGGTTAATGAAACGATGACTGTTGAGTTACGTTGATTATGCAGAAAATCTAGATTGAATGTTATCTTATAATCATATGCCTATTCTCATACATTTAATAATGGGCTACACGTTATAAGAGAATTAATGGTGTCAATCGGCTGTCCAAGTTTTGACAGATGGAGGCCATGCTCGATTTCTTTGACTTATTAGTTGTGTTTCGACAACATATATCAACAAACTACAGTTTCCGTCAAGATAGTCACAAATTTGTATTTTTCAATTATAGGGCCTTTCCATAATTTACTTGAGTGATATGGTTAAGAAATAGAATTCAAAGATGTATCGCTGCCTAGACAATTTCGGATTATGATCACTGTTGACATTGGTTACAGCTTAAATTGGTGTTAGTAAGTAATATATTTACAGAAAAATGTGTAGCTAGCGGATCAGATGGTTATTGTAGAAATACTAGATGTGTCAGTGAATCAGTTTGATATTTAGGATTGTAAAGAGGTGTTTATTTGCAAAGTTGGTTTAATTAATGGTTTCTGTTTTATTCTGTTTACATCCCTTTAGTACCCTGTTCTGAAGCCATCAGTCTCTGCATTTGAAGAAATCAGTACTACATATGAAAAAAGTTTTACTCGCATCACTGCTGGTTTTCGTGTGAAAACATCTTGTCTTCAAAGCATCGCATCTGAATTGGCCATTTATGAATCGCTGAACCATGAAATAGAGTCTGAACATGTTCAAGATTCGTCTTGATTAAATTCTAAATTTACAATCTCCTTATTCGCCTACTTTAGTACTTTTTATTTAAGTTTGCATTTGTATGTCATGGATCCTTTCTGTATGTTGAAACATGTGATTACTAATCTTAATGTTTTAGATCTGTCAATATTATGTTAGCGAATGGAAGTAAAATATACTTATCTACAAAGGAAATGCTTTTCTCACCTTCCCTGTTATTTTTGTTGAGTTTTTTTTTGTTGCAAAATATCGTCTTTACCAGTTGTTTGTTGGTACTTGTGGTGTTTGTTTAATGTTACTTACCACTAGTTTTGTTGTTTGTTTATCAGAGGTAGGTTTTAGGTACGGTTTTGATTAATTAATTAATCGTTCTAAATCCGTGGTTAACTCGTTAGTAAGTAAGATTTCACGTTGGAATTCGAAGACTTATGTCTAGGCTAACAAACAGTACTAATAATTTTCACGTGATCGTATCACATCATCTTTGAATTAAATCGAGAAGATGAAAGCAATTCAGTGAATCGAGTCACTTAATAAATGCTTATTTTACAATTTTACCTCTGAGACCGAACTGTTATAGTTTTCATATTCTTGAGTTATTATCTCGAATTGTAACTCAGTGCTCTTCTGTGTATCAAAATTTCCTGTACAACTTGCACTTCAGTTGTCAGCATAATTATGGTTATTGGTGTTCGCTTGTCTTTTCGATAACATCTATTACTGTGAAAGCGTATTTTGATTTCTTTTCAAAGTAGATTTGTACCAATATCTTAAAATAACCGTTCATCGAATGAGGAGCGAAAACTTGATTGCTATCGGAAAAGCAAGACAAGCTTTCACTACTCTCAAGTCTGTGTGGAGGTCAACAACACTCAGCATCAAAAATAAGATCCGGATTTTCAACTCCAATGTGAAGTCAGTCAGTGCTACTATACGGATCAGAGACTTGCGCGCGTCATAAAGAGCATCTCAAACAAACTACAGACCTTCATTAACAGTTGTCTTCGCTCAATACTCAAGATCAGATGGCCGGCCAGGAAAGATCAGCAACAGGGATCTCTGGGAGCGAACCAACCAGGAACCGATTGTGAAACAAATAGGCAGGAAGAAATGGAGATGGATCGGCCATACTCTGAGGAAACCATCAAGTGACATCACTAGACAAGCCATTGCTCGAGTGGAACCCGAAAGGGAAGCGGCGAATTGGTCGTCAGTGCAAGGGTGACTTGGAGGAGGTCATGTGAAGAGGAGATGAAAGCGTGTGGGCAGACATGGAGCCAGGTGAAGACTCTAGCAGAGAACCGAACGCAATGGAGACGCACGGCTGAAGCCCTATGTTCCTCTAGGAATTAAAGGATACAATAATAATAATAAATAGCAGGTGGTAGCTTGGTTTTCCTTCATGCCATTGTTATATGTCTTTAGTTCATAATTCTAGATATTTATTTTATTTTTTGATTACAGCTTGAAACCAAACAGTATTTTTGGTACAAGTATGGAATTTTTAGCATGTGATATTGGTAGCCCAAATTTTGCAGGCCGACCGTTGATATCAGGTGTGCGTCGGTCGGGGATCGAACCCCAAACCATGTTCATGGTCGGTGAGGGTCCTAACCTCTGTGCCACCCACGCACCTGAAGATAGAATATTCCGGTAGATTCTAATCTTGCAGTTCGTATTACACTGTAATCAAAGAAGTTGTACTAATAGCTTAAGAAATAATTTATGAATACATTGATTAAGAAGACTGGACGTATCGCTGAATTGCGACAGTGAGTATGACACTAAGCTTATCTCAGCAGCAGGTAATACTAAAGTATTTTAAAAGAATATAAACTGTTATCCAAGTACTATCTACTTTTTGAATGCATATTTTCTGATAACACTGATAAATGTTTGGCATTCAAATAACAAGGCTTTCATTTTCTTCAACATGTGTTGCTTGAGGGAACTTAGTGCTCCTAACCCCAAATTATTGATGTCTGTTAATTTCTTAATGGACAACGATTTCAGAAGAGTAAGCTTGAGCAATAAGTTTCTACAAGTTCTATGCGACGTTTCTATATGCGGTGTTATTCTAAAATTATTTAGGCATTAATTTTACATCACACAGTATTATTTTGGAGTTCGATAGGCTCAAAGTTTTATGAATCCAAGATGAATGTAAAGTCATGCTTGTGGTAAAATAACATTTATAAAATTAGCGTTATTGTGTGTGTATATATACTCGTATGCTCAAATTGTAAGGTTTAACCATGCCGTGAGGTCCACATGCATAATATGAATATCACTTCGAAAATCTACATCTTAGCCGAAGGACGCCACTTTCAACGACTGTTTTCCTCTTCAAATACTGCCTGATTTTCTTTAGCCAATGAGTCCGGGCATCAGGTTTTCACACTACCCAGTCATTGTAGTCTCGAATCGTTGAATTGTGTTAACTAAAGGAAAACTAGACCTCAATGTTATGTACCTGTTTTTCCTAACTTGTGTTGTGTGAAACGTGTTCACAAAAACGACTAAGTTTTGAGTTTGTCCTTTTTTATTTTTTTAGAATGCTCTTAAGGCAAACAATTTCATAGTACACGTGTAAAGAAGAAATATGCGAACGTCTGCAACAGCGTCTACCTCGAAATCAAACATACCTAAAACTTCTAAGCCATCATACAGCAAGTGCGATAAAAGTGAGCCTAACTCAAATGAGAAAACCTCTGATAACAATGGAACAACAGGATCATTTGAATGTAATATATGCCTTGATTCAGCTCGAGATGCAGTTGTGAGTATGTGTGGTCATCTTTTTTGTTGGCCGTGTCTTCATCGATGGCTTGAGACAGCGGAAACTCGAACAGTATGTCCAGTGTGTAAGGCGGCAATCAGCAGAGATAAAGTTAGTGTTACTGTTTTGCGTTATTCACATGTCATTTGTAATAATTTAAAATGCTTCCTAGCATGCATAGATAATTCGGTTACAAGTCTTACGATTAAATATACAAATTTTACTGTTTTTCACTTTGTTTTCTATCTGGTTCTTCTGTTGTTTATGTTAGGCTGATTTTGCAACCAGAATAATCCTTTTTCTGTGTCAAGTGCCAAGGAGTTCGAATCTGAAAATATTCGATTTGCATATGCCACGAGACTACATAAAAGTTAAAACTAAAGCAGTTTTTAGCGTTCATTGATAGTATTTCAAAACCTTTGGTTGTTTTTTACCTGTTTGCAGCTAGTATTATTCTGCAAATTGTTGCCTGTGGAGGCTGGAAAAGAGCTAGCGGCGGTCAAACCAAAACATGCCACCAGTCAATGAAATCCACAACAGTTGGTCTAAGCCACGTAGGAAGGTGTAGACTTCCTGGTTGGGGTCCTCGGGATGGTAAAAAACCAATAGTTGGAAACAATTGGTGACATGGCTCAAAATCGTTCTCAGTGGCGCAGATGCATCCACTCCTTGTGACTCATGATTTCCAATTAAACTGTTTTGTTCTTCGTTATTACTATTCCTTTGTCTCACACCTCTGTTTACTGTCTATATTATGCATTTCTCCTACTTTCTTCTCTTGCTTTGTGTGTTACATGGAGTGTGGCGACTTGGACTGCCGCACATATGTGCAAAGTTCTATGTCGAAAACCGACCGACCGAATTTCACATTGAAGGTCTTCTATCTTTCACTAAAATACTGTCCTTAAGTCTTTATCGAGACTGAAGTAAAAAATATAATGGAACTGAGTAACGTAACACAATCGAAAGAATTGAGTAGATTTCAACTACGATTGAAGAAAGTTCAGGTCAAAATCAGTGACATAAGAATCAGAAAAGAAGAAAAAATTACCACTCAAATGTTTTGAGAAATTGGGATCATTGTACATTCAGTGACTGAACTGACTGTACCCATGACCGTACTATCTTTTTGTCTATATATTTTACTATTGTTATTCAACTGCAGACGCTATCTCTACACCTGAAATTTTGCATAAAATCACCAAATATCCATAGAAGTTCACTCAAGCTAAGTTCGAAAACTTATGGTCTGGTGCCAACGTCTGATGGGCCACCTATAACATTTCACACCAACAGTCCTTGACAGCTTTCACAAGTTTACAGACACCAAACCAAACGGCCAGCTGGTATTGACCAAAATAACATTGTGAAGAACAATAAAGAGATTACTCTCATATGTGCAGGAATTGTACTGATGAATCTTTTGGATTACATCAATAAAATGTTAACCATCTTATCTGATACATCCAAATTTTAAAAACCAATCGAAAATAACAGAACAAATTGAATTAAAATTAACGAGTTTTCGCCAAATAATGAAAGCTAAAGCACTCACTAACTTCGAAACATTTGAATCTTTAAGATCATCTGGTTTAAATGTACCCCGACTGTATGGTCTGCCGAAAGTGCAAAAGAAGGACACGTCTTTTCCCATTCTTAGCCCAGTGTTTGGTAAATATGATGGATCCTATCAGAAGGCTCCGCTGATTCACTTCGAGATTCATTGACTTTGTTAATTGTATTGACATCGTCAACTGCTCTGATCCAATCGCGTCTTCAGTAGGGGTGATTTCAGTATTTACGGACGTCCCACTTACTGAAACATTACGCCACATATGTTAACAGATTGTTACCAGTGGAGTAAAAATTAACATGTCTGCTCATTATTTGAAAGATTTTCTGTTGAAAGGCTCTTCTGATGGCTAATTTTCTTTAATTCATAAAATGTATTGATAAAAGGGATGATAAAGCTATGGGCCCTGGGCTTGAAAACATATCTAAAGAAAATGATCAGCAACTTTGGTTGATGATACTTTTGTCATCTCAAATAATACAAAGATTTTAGCGAAGAAAATTCTCTTTTCGATGATTTCGTTTTCATAGCTGTAAAATCGTATGTATATATGAATTACAATAGACAGTAAAGTTTAACAGTGACTGGAAATACTAAAGTGTGATAATATTGGTCAATGTAATTGAGTCACAAATTGATTGGATATATGTCTGTGAATAAACAAATAAATAAAAGTCAACATATATCTAATCGGTTTGTGACTCCAATCACATACACCAATGTTATCACACTTTAGTATTTCCATTCACTGTCAAACTTTAGCACACACACACACAAGAAAACTGATTGTTATATATACATACGATTTTACAGCTATAAAAACGAAATCATTGAAAAGGGAATTTCCTTCGTTGAAATTTTTTCTGAATATCTCAATGCGGACTGCTAATTTAATATCAAATATCCAAGTGTTGGTTAACAGGGATTTGATTGTTTATAGAATTTCATATAATAAAGAGAATTCAAGTGATATTCTAGATCATCTCTAAATCCGCGAAGCCTGAGCGACCAAAACCGTAAACAATTTCCGTCCTTAGAAAAATTCTCGATGTCAGTCTGCAATCCGATGGAGATTTATCAGCGAGAATGCTGAGCAACGGTTTGTCCCCTTTCTTTTAGGAAGGCACTCGTAGCAACTGACCTCCGACTTATTTCCCCTACAAAAGCAGTGATTCAAATAAACGGGAAGCATATGCTACTACTGCTGGCCCCGTCACTGGGCTTACGAACTCCGACGCCTATTAGTCTATCACAGAGTAGTTATATTTTTATTTCACTCTTGCCAGGTTATTCCTCTCTACGGTCGCGGTGCCGATCATACGCAAGACCCTCGTACAAAAATCCCTCCGCGTCCACCTGGTCAACGTAGTGAACCTGAACCAGGTATGGGCGGTTTGGGAGGAACATTTGGCGGATTGTTTGGGAGTCCTGATGGGGGCAATTTTCGAATGTCAGTTGGTATTGGTGCATTTCCATTCGGTTTCCTGGCGACAACCTTTAGCTCAGGTGGGGCTAATACCTCCGGAAACTCAAACAATGGAGATGGTGTTAACAATCTTGATAACCTTTGGGGTGCTGATACAGAAACTATGTCAAAATTGTGTCTTTGCGTTGCAATATTTTTTATTGGTTGGCTATTTATCGCATAATAACTGCTATAAATATCTGATTGATTATTCTGATTATTTCTTCTTTTTATTTGTATTCCATACTTTTTATTATTAGACATAATTGGATTTTTGAATCCTTCTTTTTTTGAAGTTAATTTTATGTGATACTAATATTATTATCGTCAGTTTATAATTGATTTTCAATATTTAAGATTATACTTTGAGTAATTTGGGTGAAAGTGTTGTAAAGGTATGTGTTGTTTAATTTAATTAGTTGAGAGAGTATATACAAGTGGGTTGCAATTTTGCTTGACCATTACGTGGAATTCATCTAAATTGAAAGTTTCCTTCAGCCTTGTCTTTTTCTCAATGCTTTGTTTTGCTTATTTTCATACTTATTCAAAAGTGTATAATATAATTTGCTTTGAGCAAAACAGTGTAGATGTGTGTGTGATGATGATGTTGTGTGTACCTGAAAGTTAAAATATACATTATTATGATTTTGTGATTATTTCTTTTTGTGTGTGAAGAAAAAATGTTTAACTTATTTGTGATATGAGGTACTGATGATTTTTCAGTTATATCAGGACTGTAATTTTATCGAGTTAATAAATAGACCCAGGTGTAATCAACTTTTCAGGTGTGTATTATCATCTTAATTTCGCTTCATTTTCTCTGTATTTCCTTTTAGAAAATACTGTGTCTCAGATTATGAGATAATAATCTGTAACTATTGTTATAGGCAGGGACACTTTCAGTGTTCATCAACAACTGTCGTATAATTATGTATATATATATATATATATATGCAGTGGGTGCCTTGTGTCAAATTTAATAAGTTAATAAGTCTATTCTTAGGTCCATCAGATCTACATCTATTGTGGGAGTATGATTCTGTGATAATAGTTCTTTCATCACAAATGTTAAGACAAGATAGTTTTGATTTCAGAAGTTAAGTATAAATTCGCATTACTCAATCTCCACATAGGGTTGATGGGATCCAATGCGCACAGGAATTAAAAACACTTAAAGAGATAGATGTTCATGTAATAATAATAAATAGTCCTTTGTATACCATTTTTAAGATACTACTTTTATACAAAAAATATGACTAGTAAAAAGAAGCCTTAAACTTAAAAATGTCTCACTTAAATTTACAAAGTACTTATTTTTTAATGAAACGATCATTTAATAATATCCACCTCAAAATTTCTCATAGTCTCGAACACTCATGAGGATCTAATTTGTGGATGGTGACTAGCAGTGGAATCCAGGATGCGCATTTCGTCCTATTTGGGACTCATCAATTGGATGTACCTGCATTTCCCAGTTTGTGATGATTTTCCCACCGAGACTCGAACCTAGTGCCCTTAGTTTCAAATGCCAAAGCGTTATTCACCTAACTCTTTGAGAAGAAAGAAGATTAATAATATATTGAATTTTATTCACTATATTTGTTGGAAGACGACTATTGACTTGACAACAATAGTGTTTGTGGAGAGGATAATTCTTGAGTATTCGAGTTTTTTGTGTATACAATTTGAAGGATATTAGCGCGGAGTTGCATTTTATATGTGTACCAACTTGCTGTAATTGTTAGTAAGCCAGCATAGGAGTTATGAGTGGTTTAATCAATCCATGAAGTCTTTGACTGTTGGTTTGAGTTATATAGGTAGGTGTAGACTGTCTTTCTGGAATCCCTGGAACTTTGACTGGACACTCCACTAGTTAGTAACTAGTATCATGTGTCTAGTCTCTTGTTTGGTGCAAAACTAAATTCTGTCAGTCAGGTTTGCAATGTGGCCACCATGCTAGGTGGCTCGCCATCACGATGCATTCTGGATTGTGGTTATCAGATAGTTGGACAGTGTCCAGCCAAAGTATCCAATACACTCCTATAGGAGGTCAAGCGCGACTCCGAATAGCTCACTGGTAGCGTCTCTGACTGCAGCACTAGATGACACGAATTTGAATATCAGGAAGGACATGAGTCCGTCCAAGATTACAGATAAGCCTTACTCACGAGTACCAACAAGCATGAGACCTAGGTCGAAGGCTTCTTGCCGATATCCTCCAACCATCAAATAATCCCCGGAATGCTAAGAACCAATGCCTGGAGACTTGGTGGCATGCCTAAAAAAGTCTTCAATGGCGTAGATGTCTTCATCCTTTATGTACCCCTAGGTTCATTAAATTCTCATTATTCCCCACGTTGTCACTTTTCTCCAGTGCATTGTAGTTCCTTTGGGAGAAGGTCAGGAAGTGCAAACTGCGTAACAAGATCATGTCTAAGATAAGTGACTGTGGATTATAAAACATATCAAAGACTCAGTGCCTGTCTAGTATGAAACTTTATTCTACCCCGGACGCTCTTCAGCATTATTTCTCTGGAACAAAAGGTTATTTCTGTAGGAGGTTATTGTGACTAAAGAACTTTTTATGCAGATTAATTTAAATCAGTACGTCTTCAATAACAAAAAAATTTTTTTTGACATTTACCTGATTCTCACTGAAGAGGATCCAATTAACTAAGCCTTTATCTCAAGGGAATTAGATCTTAGAATTTCAATACAGATTCAAGTTCTGATAGCTGGACGACAAGATTTTGATAATTTATCTAGAAAGAACCGTTAGCTTTAAGTGCTGAGTTTCAAGGCGTTACCTTTCCAAACTTAAAGTTTTGTGGCTTTCACAATACTTTCGTGATCATCCGTTGTTTGATTCCATACTGGATAAGTTTATTTGATATAACAATAATACTGTATTAATAACTGGATGGCATTTTGAGCAGAATTTATTACTTTAAATAGCCTCACTCCTCCCAGTTTTCCGTGTCAGGGACATATGTTGCACTATTCTGATTTCATGTGTTTGGTGTTGATTACACGCAGGTGCATGCATAGCAATGACCGTGGTTTCTTAACTTTATGAAATCAAAGATTTTAGATTTAGCTGAATTCCTGTATTCTGATAACCTTACTGACCCCAACTTATTAGTCTAACCTCACAGTTATTACAGAGTACTTGAATTATATTGAATTTACCTCATTAGGTTCATTGGTTCTTCAAACCGGCAAAGTTTATCTCTGAGTGCACTGGCTGGTTTAAATCCCACCTTATTAAGAATCATGCGTAGGGTTTCTGATTTCCATTCTTTAAATATGATAGTACTAAAGAGACTCTGGATTCTTTGTTATTTATATGATTTCCACCACTTCTACTTTTCTTATTGGTCATAATAAATTTTGAATAATTTCAAGTTGGTGGTTACCCAGTGGTAATGTTTACCTGATTTCTTTATTTGGATTGTCTAACTCACTGGTCAGACTCCCGACTGATTGCTATACATGAGAAATGAATTTTCTGCTCATGTGACTGTTAGTTTGCGTGCGTTTTTTATGAAATCTTCGCTAAGTGGTAACAACCACCGCTTACGTAATGTTGATCAAATTGTTGTTTATATATATATATATATATAAATCGGCTTGCTAAACTGAACATGACACAAAATATTCTGCTAAATGTTACTGGTTTTCCAGGTTCAAACATTTGAAAGTATCGCTCCTACCAAAGCAGTTAATCTACATTTATTCACATTTCTATGTCTAGAAGTGAAACTAGCCAGAGAAAAATTGTAAACTATTTAGTAATAATGCATTAAATCAATTTCACAGCACTAGGTGAAGTAAAACAACTGCGGACAGAACGACTTTATCAAGTACACACCTTTGTTTTTGGTATATAAATGAACCTATCTATTGTTTATTCTAGCTTCCTTTGCTCACAGTAAAATTATGTTTCAAGAAGTAAACTTTAGTCTTGTTAGTGGACCTTATGCATAACTAAGTGAACAATTTGAATAAAGCGAGAACTTCAGTTTTTGCAGAATAAAGTGGTACTATCATTTATTTCATTGCGGGAGCAGTCACATTGGAAGAACAGAAAGAAGGGCATATCTACGATTTTCTGAACATGTACCAAAAAGCTTATGTCTAAAGGGAACAAATGCTTTAAACAGTGCCATCCCCAGGCATCCTCTTGACACGGGTCATGAGGAGGACGTCGCAAAATCATTCAAAATTACCGATAGGCAAAAGAGCTCAATTCTCCCCAAGTTTGCTGAAGCCATCTCCACCAAGCGCCTGAAACCTGATTTGTGCGTTCAGAAAGAAACAATTATCAATATTTCTTTACCCTGGTAATTGGATATTTTCATCTGAATACGTAATGCCGAAAGTTTCCATTGTATATGAACACTATTTTTCGGAATAGTGTTTAATAGTATATATATATATTTATATGTATCACTACCAATGTTACTGACTTGACCAACGCTCAATTTCTAGTCATTTATGCTACCCTAACCTAAGTTGAAACATTTTATTCAATTATATTACGTCATCTAACTTACTAACTCAATCTTACTTTAGTTGCTGTCTAATTAACCTTGTTTCTATATTAGATCATTCTTGTATTACCTGATCAATTATCTAAACTTGACAAACCTCATGTACACACACATATAATTATATATAAATGCGATTGTACAGCTATGTGAATGAATTCGCCGAAAAGAGTCTCTTCGCTGAACGTCTTCTCTTTTTTCATATGATTGATTTTTGTTTAAAATGAACTCTGTGCAAGTATGTTAAAATTGTTCCTGTAGATATACTTAATAATGACTGTGGCCTGTAAGCAGCTGCTGAGAATGCAACGAAATAAATGGTGGTACCACTTTATTCTGCAAAAATTGTAGTTCTCGCTTTATTCAAATTCACTAGGGAGAATAAGTGAACAAATACTTGCACTAAATAAGTCCTCTAAGGATGAGAATATTTTTACGCACTTTCGTATTTGGTCTGAGGGCTCAGTGGCAATTCTCCTAACATATAATCGATATGTGAAAGTTAACAGCGTCTGAAAACAAAGAATGATAATTCATCCAACAGTTGTTTACCACATCACAGTGCAGTCGTTAAAGTTTTCTTACACTGCAACTCAGAGAAGGAGAACGACTAGTTGTTCGTGGATTTAGGCCACCACCATCAATAAATGCATATTATAATTAGATAACTGTTTTCCCATTGAAGTAATTGCATTTTACTTTGATTTCAGTTCAATGGTTCGAGTGAAAAACCGGTACATTGTTTGCTTCGTTTCCATCCAACCTCAGAATTCCAGTTCATTTGTACCAGGTTACCCGGGCTGTCATAAGGAGGACACAGTTGTTATGCGCTTGAGTGAATCGGATTTCTTACCGGTGATAAGGCAGAATCTAATTCTAGCTCATGGTTCATTGGGCGTTGGTAAATGCATGTCACGTTTGAGGGTAATTCATTGGTGCCCTGCTTCTGGTTTGTTGATTATTCGTTGTCTTCGCAGTGCATCAACTTACATTCAGACCGCCCTATCTTTGGTAACTGGCTTGGATATTGGTAAGCTGCGAAAGTCTTTTTGTCTCAGGTTTGTAATACACTCGATACCCTAAGGAAACTTGATATTTGAAGATTTGTTGTTTTGATACTCTATTGATTATAATCATGTGACTACCTAGATTTTCTTTCTTACTTATCAGTCACTATAAGACACTTTGAACATGTTAACAATACAAATTAGAACAGGTGTTTTACGGACGAATAATGAAAGATAAGTGATGGTGCAATATTTAAACGATTTCGCATCATCACTAATGAAGGCAGCAGTTAATTAATTGCTCTTACAATTCTAAGTATAATGTCTTTCACGACCCATCAACTACAAACCGATATGAAACGATACTGGTGTTGTTTTGTGATACTAGCTTTTAAAGTAATTGTTCATGTTCACTAAAGTTCCATCTAGAAGTAGCCACAGGTTCATCTTCAAGGCTAACCTTCCTCCCACAATATTTTTGTAGGGAGAAATAACTTCAAGAATAGCAAGCATAAAATCTGAGAGACGTTTGTTAATCATCAAGGTTGCATTAATACACAGTATTGACGCGAAATTTCGATGAGACGAACTATTCAATATAATATGAACCATACTATTATCCACTAACAGTGTTCCTAACGCACTTTATTATCCAGCTTAGTGAAGTGAGCGCTGAAATCTCAACTAGTGTGAAATCAATGTCCATTTGGAGTGCTAAGATCTACCGAGTAATGCGAATACTCTGCAAGAATATATGTAGTGGTTAGTTTGCGATATCACTAGTGAGGATAATAAAAACATTCAGGCGTCTCAAGACAAATAACTTAGGTTCGATCCCTCACTTGTGTTAGGTAAAATGTCTTGCTGTTTACTTTGAAAGAATTACTTAGTTTCATAAGTTTGCTATACGCTGATATCATTCAGAATTCATTTTTACAAATGCGTAATTCACTTATCCATCCTATCTTCTAAAAGGTGGACAAAGGAGGACAGCATTAGTCGACATTTATCACGTCAGTGGAACAGTCAGAGGCTGTCAAAAGTTTTTGGTCAAATTCTATTCCCAGCATCTATTTTCAAGAACAGAGAATGTATTTCGAACTGCTTTATCAATAGCCGTTGAAGAAAACATGGTATCCCCCTACCCACCAACTATCAGTGAAGAGCCCTATTAATTCCTGTATTTATTGCATTTAATAAACTATAGACCATCTATAAATTGTTTTTGCTCTTTTCTAGTAATTTGAAAATTAACTGAATGAAACTGTTTATATCATCTCTTTAGGAATACTTTCGCATTATAAATTATAATCCGAGAATTAGAAGAAAGTCTGCATCAAAGAGGGGTAGGCAATTACAACAAATTGATTAAGAACCGGTGTCACAAATTATGTAAGGAAAATACTCTACAATCTATTGCTGATATCTAGATAAGTTTGTCTATACATACCGTTTCTTAATTCAAATACGCCACACGACCACTCCGTTGCCCATGTAGAGGAAAAGGGTAGAAATGCATCAGTTCACATACTTCAATAATCTGCGCAAGACGAAAAAGGATTTAATCGATATCCTGGGATTAAAAGTTGAAAATTTAGAAGAGGAGCTTTACGGTTTAATGTTACGTTTATAAGATACTATTATTCCTACACAGTCAACCAAATGATAGAAGTGAAACAGAAAAGATAAAAGCGATTTATTTCCCATGTTTAAGGGGAGAGCCTTGAATACAGTATGCTTTTTGTAATCTGAAGATTTCTGCTCAAAAGAGATAAAAACAACTTACAAGGGAATATCTTTAACATGTTATCATATGTGTTGTCACAAAACTAAACAAAATAACAGTGGATTACTAAGTATAATATTATAGAATTATAGTAAAAGCAGTACATCATAAGACTGACGCAAGAAATATTATATATTAAGGTTGTAAAGCATGATAAATTCTCAAAGTGAATAATAATAAAACAATGACAGTAGATCAATGCATAGAAAGTGAAATATGTATAATGTTATATTATCATATAGCAAAAAAAACGGCGCTTTGATTGAAAGTAACGAACGACATAGAAAAAGTCATGTTCATATAGAAACCAATTTTCATATATACTAATATAATGAATATTATTAAAATGAGTAGTTTTTGTATAGGATAAATACTGAATATCAGGAAAGAACTGGAAATTAGTAAAACGCAGCATTTACAGTAAATAACGACACAGTAAAATGGTAAGCATACGCTAAAAACGAAATTGACTGTACAGAAAATTTCGCTGTGAAGAAAAACAAGTGCGTACGGATTTGTGATGTAACTTAAGCACATTTCCTTACCAGAAAGTATTACTTGTTTCTTGAAGCATATTCTGTCGAACAGTTTATGCCTACTAATAGGTGGATTAGTTTAATTTTATTTTTTGCTTTAAACCACAGATTGCAGTGACACACTAATACTGAACGAAAACTCGTAATACAATGTACATTTGCATGCAGGATACAACAAAGGAAGAAATATACGATGTGACACAGCCCTTTACAGACACTTAAGTGTCATGAACTGAAATCACAGATTGAGCACATGACGAAAGCAGCAAAAAGATATTATTGTCAGTAATAAGTGTATAGAGAAGTTACATAACAGCAGAAATCCGACGTGAATGAGGCACTGTCAAATGCAGGAAAATAAACTTAAGGATTTGGGGTAATAAAAATACAGGCTGGAGTAGCTGCGAGTAAACTAGTTGGAGAAATACCATCAGCTGTAGTGACAAACTCTGGCTGTATATTTACTTGATTAGGATGGAAACTTGCAGAAAGTTCAGTACCCGAGACAGTTGGATGCGTTGCTATCATTGGAGAGAAAAATGCGCTAGCTTGGTTAGCATTCAGACCGTCAGGAGAACAAGCTATAGCAGTAAAATATGGTGGTGCTTGGGAATGCTGCAGTCCTGAATGATATGCTTGAACCGATTGGGGTATGAGTGAAGCACGAATTGTGTAACAACTCGACATACTCGGTGTTGTTACACAAGAGGATGACAAAACACTACTAGTTCCTTGTACACATTCCGTGCCCATTTCAGGCTGCGGGTGTGACGGAATGGTAGATAAAAGAGTAAAGTTCGGTGATACTGATGAAACTGCTGGATTCTGTGGTAGTGTTAAATTGCTTTCCACTGAAGAATTAGGCACACAACCAGAGAGTTGTGTAGGAGAGACTGCTAGAAAATGACCATGGGGTTGTGCAGCGAAAGTCCCGGTGGCGAAATTGAAAGTGTTGGCAAATTCATTGTTAACCTGGCTCAAAATTGGAACTGCTGAAAGTGACATTGAAGGTAGAGCAGCGAAAACTAATTGTGAATGGGGTGATATAACACTAGAGCCATTGAGACCTGTCATATTAGGAAAGGCATGAAAAGTGACTTGTCCTGAATTAGAATCGCAAGCTGTTAAGAGTAATCGCTGTTCAGGAACAGATTGGTTTACATTTATCCCATCATTTAGTACGCTTACTTTTTGTACTGACAGGCTATTAGTTTGAAGAGAAGAAGCGTCTACTTGTTCATCCTGTTTTAGTTTACGTGGATTTTTAGCAGCATCGTAATTCTTCACTGCTTGTGAAGAACCGCGCTTTCCACTGTTATTTGTCTTAGGACCCGAAGTCGAACTTACTGAACTTTTGGTCACATTAATTTTGGAATCTCCATTTGCAAGTTTTTGATTGTTCTTCTGATGCACTTTTGTATGGCGCTTGCGTTCATCAGAACGTGCAAAACTCCGACCACATACATCGCAGACAAATGGTCGCTCACCAGTATGTGTTCGCATATGTGTAGTTAAATGGTCTGAACGTGAAAACTCTCTTTGACACTCAATGCACTTGAAAGGTTTTGCACCAGTGTGGATTCGTGCATGTCTTGTAAGCTCATCCGATCGAGAAAAACACTTATTGCACGATGTACACCTATGAGGTTTCTCTGCAAACCTTTCAGTTACGCTGGATGTTATGCCTGTGTGAGCTTCCAATTCTGAACAAACCCCGGTTTGTGCCTTAGCTATTCGAGTTTTGTTACGATTAGAAGTTTTGCGTCTTTTAGAGACACCAGAACTTTTCATGTTGGATAGGTACTCACTGCTACCCAAGTCATCTTCTGTGACAACTGTTGTATCCGGTGCACAATCAGGTGGGTTGTTCATAAGAGACTTACTAGGTGAATCAAACAGATGATGATCCGAAGTTGTAATTGAGTCGGTAAAGGAAGGTTGTTCTTGTTTAATCATTGTACCATCTGCTGCAACTGAATTTTGAGTATAATTTCCACTAACTGCAATACCAGTCGTTTCAATGTTATTATTCAACAGGCCAGAAGCAGGTGACAAAAATGATAGAGTTCCAGGAGGATTAGCTGGTGGTGAACATAAATTAGTTAAGAGTCCCGTGGCATATAAACCTCCAGGGCCAGGAGACGGTAATAATGGCAACAAAGCAGTATTAGGAGTGGTAGGTGTTAAAAGGCCACCACTGTTTTCAGTAGTCAGTAAAGTGGTTAGTGTTAAGCCGTTTCCTAAAACAAGTGGAGATGGAATAAAAGGAGGCTGGCTTCTAGCTGAAAAAGCTATCGCTGTGACTGGACTGGTCTCTTCTGTAACAGATATACAAGGATTTTGTGTCATTCCAGCGCTGTTGAGAACAACAGTATCAGGCACTGTCTGAAGATTAGTAGTTGCGATTTCAGATCTGTTTGATACATAGGCGGAGTTAGTAGTAGTTGCTCGAGCATCATTCATAGATAAGTTTCCAACACTCGAGAGTGCACTTGTTAACAACGGTAAATCACTCAGTTCGAGACTTCCATCATTGCTTTTCGTAGTCGCTGACGTGAATGATGTAATGCTAATACCAGAATCTGACTCTAGTGATGTGGATACAGATTCAACCTTCGCTGTAGTGCTGTCAGGTGAAAGATGATTTAAGTACAGCAAAGACGACCTGCTTGATGGTTTAACTTCAGGATGTGATACACACGATTGCTGGTTTAAATCAAATTGGGATATGAACATATTTTCTTCTGGTAAGGTTCCAGAGTCCGAATGGTTAACTGAAGATTCCTCGGCATCACCTGTTGTTTGAAATTACAAAAAACGTCCCACTTATATTTATACTACTTACACAAATAAGATGTGATAAGCATGCTTATACTTTTTAAGATAAGGCAAAACAGACGTTAGTAAGACCAAAATATAATGCCTTCTTCATAGGGTAAACTAATCCTAACAGTGGAAAATCCCTTCACATGCTTAATGATGTAGCATAAGAAAGAACACTCAGTAATTTGCGAGATTCCGTCACGAAGCTATCTAGCTACATATAAAACCTCATGTGTATTTATCAGCGGTTCCATTTGTGCACGATCACTGATGGTATGGAAAATAAAAGCCAAGTAAGCAGGTAGCTGATCAAGTTGTATTTCTTCTTAACATCAAGTGTTTGCAATGTTTTCATACTTATGTTTATTATATGTTGTACACAGCTTCAAATGAATGATGATTGATGTAGGCTATATAGGGATTTTCGAATAAAATGAGGAAAACTGATTACGAATGCACGTTTTACTAAGTTTTTGGACATCGTTTTTGAAATAGTACCTTAATTGCAGCAGAAAAGGTAATTACTAAGATAGTATGCAGTCGCCTTTGATCACTGTTTAGCTGCCTTATTTAGCTTCTACCCTACATATCAGCTGGGAATATAACATACCATTTTTATTTGAAAGACAAGCTTCTTGCAGCACGAACACAAAATAACGTGCTACGCAAACAGTATAGGGAAAACGGATAACAGCAAAAGAATACTAAAATGATCATATAGATGTTTTCGACAAGCAACGTTTTTACTTCTAAATATCAAGCACCATAACTGAAAATAAATGACGACCACTTACTAGGACTCTAACCAATCAATTGAATGATTTCTCCAAAACCGTAAGGAAGTTGTGATAATAAGCAGCTTTCGTAACCTCAGACACAGTTGGAGGACTAATATCTACATCCCAATCAAGTTTCTTTGGTTTAAATCACCCACATCCCCTGGTCATGTTCAGAGGCTGTGGGAATCAGTCTCTACGTCTACCGTTTCGGATGAAGCATCAGAAATAAATTTGCATTTACTAACATTTGGTTTCAGGTCATCATCAGCCTACTATCCGAGCCTTCCTCTGAATGTCATGCCATCAATCCCAGACATACTTTTAAACAATTCTTTCCTAAATAAAGACTGTGTTTTCATCAAGTTGAAAGCGTAGCGGCGTTGTAGCTGCCCGTTTTGTAAGTCCATTCAGTTGTAAGCATATACGTACAAGTGATAGTGCACGATTGGAATCTCTACCGATACCCTACAGCTACGCAATCTATTTGATTTCATCGTTTATTTGATGACAGAGTTCGCTAGGTCCAAAGTTATTGCCGACAAGGCGTAGATGTTCCTCTGAACTAAGTTGTAAAAGCCAATCATTGTTGTTGGTCCATCAGCATAGGACCCCATAGGCGCCAATAATATACTTTTCTGTTTGAAGTTACCTGCTAAAATGACTACATCTGAGGGCTATGCTTTTAGAAACAAGCTGGACAGCTTTTGATAGAACTCATCCTTTAATTCATCCGAACTGCAGCTGGGTGTGGCGGAACCCATTCATTTGTACAGCACACACGACTGTCCACTTGCTTCCATAAAAAACCCAGCATGACCGATGATGAGAATATGTCAGTCTTACTCCTGAAACGCTCTCATGAAATCACATGCCCGTAGCCCATGTCGGGCAAATTCAGTTTACAGCCTTAACACGGCATTGTTCCTCATATAAATGAAAGGGCGAATGAGAAAGCATGGCAATTAGAACCAGATGGTGGATATGCCGGTATACCTAGGGGAGCTACAAAACCTTGATTCCAAACCTACTGGTGTATAAATCCTACAAAACCCAAAAGGATCGAATGGCATATTAAGATGTTTTGGTCACCGGAGAACATAGAAACGCAGCTCCTGAAGCCACTTAACTAGCATATAGATCAGGCTTCAAGTCAAAAGCTCGAGGAGTGGTACCTTAAGACGACTACCTGCCTCGAACCAGGCAGTACAACAATCATTGCGTTAACGTTGCCACTTTGTGTGGTGAATCTCTTGGTGGCCATGGTGTACCAAGTTTATTTTTATCAATAATAACCCTCTGGGATTCAGTCGAGGAGTGATTTTAAGCTCTAATACTGAGATATTTCTACAATAACATGTCCACACGAACCAGCCAAGGAATCTTCAAACACCCGTAAGGTGAGTTTCGCAGATGCATTATGCTAATCAGGTGGAGTTAAATGAATTACGGCAAACAGGTCTCAAGAGTGACATCCACAACTTGAGAAGCTGGAGCTTCCGCTAGTGATGTAGAAGCTGTTTCACACTGCATCAATATTTACCTACAGTACTCATGACTTGCAAAAGCCAGTCTACAGTGCCCAAATACAGACACTGGTAACTGATACACTCGAAACGTTACCAAGCACATTATGTAGCTTCTTCAGGAAGAACTACATCAAACGCCAAGTGTCATAATTTCTGTTAAAGAAAAGTATGTAGTGATTTCGCAACATACGGGGTGTTTTACAAATCAAAATTGCAAGTAATCTCTTAAAAACACAGGAGACATTTTTGATACCTCTCAGGCAAAAATTCGTCACAAATTAAGCCGGTGAAGGATGACAATGGAAAGTCAATCACCAAAGAAGTGGAGCAAAGGAAACAGTGGGCTGAACACTTCAAAAGACTACTAAACCGACCGCCACCTACAACGCGCCCAACAATACCAACAACGGAAGCAGAATTACCAGTGAACATCAACCCCCCGAGGAGAACAGAAGTCCTGAAGGCAATCAAGATGCTGAAAGCTGGAAAAGCAGCAGGACCAGACGGAATCCCAGCAGAAGCATTGAAAGTGGACCCAGAGACAACAGCGGACTTGATGACGCCACTACTGGAGAAGGTGTGAAAAGAAGGCAAAGTACCCGAGGATTGGAAGAAAGGTTACTTATTCAAACTACCAAAGAAAGGAGACTTAAGTCAATGCAAGAACTGGCGCGGAATTATGCTCCTGTCCATCCCAAGCAAAATACTAAGCCGCATCATCCTGGAAAGGATCAAACAAGCCCTGGATGAAAAACTTCGACCGGAACAAGCTGGATTCAGGAGAAACAAGTCATGTATTGATCAAATCGCCACACTACGGATCATCATTGAACAAAGCTTGGAATGGCAGTCACCTCTCTATCTCAACTTCATCGACTTTGAAAATGCCTTCGACAGCGTCGATCGAGAGGTGATTTGGCAACTAATTCGCTACTACGGGGTGCCACGGACAATTATACATCTCATCCAACAGTTGTATGACAACGCTGCATGCCAAGTAATCCACAACGGGAAGCTCACGGAATCCTTCGAAGTGAAGACAGGAGTAAGACAGGGTTGCCTACTATCGCCAATGATTTTCCTGATTGCAGTAGATTGGATAATGCGACAGACAGCGGGCAACGAGGAAACAGGCATAAAATGGACTCACACAAAGAACTTGGAGGATCTGGACTTCGCCGATGATATATGTCTGATTTCCCAAACTGGAAGATACGCAAGTGAAAAGTAACAAGTTGGCAGAAGAAGCATCAAAGATAGGACTCCAGGTGAACATAGAGAAAACGGAGGTGATGAAGATTCCTGGCCAACACCAACAGCCACAGCAACAACAACAGACGGCAATCAGCATAAATGGAAGGAACCTGAAAGAAACTACCTCCTTTACCTACTTGGGAAGCATCGTTTCAACTACAGGCAGACGGAACTGACGAGGATATCAAAGCAAGGATCGGGAAAGCAAGGCAAGCTTTCATTACTCTCAAGTCTGTGTGGAGGTCAACAACATTCAGCGTCAAAAATAAGATCCGGATTTTCAACTCCAATGTGAAGTCAGTCAGTACTACTATACGGACCAGAGACTTGGCGTGTCACAAAGAGCACCTTAAACAAGCTACAGACCTTCATTAACAGATGTCTTCGCTCAATACTCAAGATCAGATGGCCGGCCAGGAAAGATCAGCAACAGGGATCTCTGGGAGCGAACCAACCAGGAACCGATTGTGAAACAAATAGGCAGGAAGAAATGGAGATGGATTGGCCATACTCTGAGGAAACAATCCATCAAGTGACATCACTAGACAAGCCATTGCTCGAGTGGAACCCGAAAGGGAAGCGGCGAGTTTGTCGTCCAAGGGTGACTTGGAGGAGGTCATGTGAAGAGGAGATGAAAGCGTGTGGGCAGACATGGAGCCAGGTGAAAACTCTAGCAGAGAACCGAACGCAATGGAGACGCATGGCTGAAGCCCTATGTTCCTCTAGGAACTAAAGGAAATAATAATAATAATAATGCATTCAGCATTCTAATTTGCGACTACAGTGTCCCAGGAGCTAATCTAACAAGCTGATTGGATGAAACTATCGCTATTGGTTTACTGTCCATCTTAAGAAACATTAACTCATACATATCACTTTAACCAGATAACCTAAGCAGTAGTAGTAAATATTTTTTAATAGCTTGAACTTCCCTTAAGAACGAACATACAAAAAAGAAAACGTTCCAGAGGTCTCATGCATATTACTTACTTATCATATCCGGTTGTTCTACTTTAGTATTCGCCAAAGACTGTTCTTCATTTGCAGAAGGATTTAGAACAGGTAAACGTTTGTGAAAATCGTCAGCGAAAAATAGTCCTCCGGCACTGGATGTCTTTGATATAGCAGTGGGAGTGTTAAGCACGTCATTTGCATCAATAGGAAAAAACTTGGTAGCGTCAGTTGCAGTTTTGGGAGTCTCGCCGGAATGAAAGGAATCAAATGATACGTGGTATTCATCCAAAGACTGAGCTTCAACCATATCATTAGCCATAACGTTAATCAAAGTGCTTGCTTGCTGTTCAACCGATTAACAAATTCTTGTTCCAATGGTTACAAAAAGTTATCCACAACAGCCTTCTGGTGCACCATTAGAGATTAGAGCTGCAGAAGCACGTAGCAGATAATGAAACACCATTTACACACTCCAGACGATAAAATGAACTTTATCTCAATGGCACAGCTGTTAATTCCGAATTAAGCACTTGCGATTAGTCCCTTTTGGTAGATTTAGTTCAGTGCACAAACAATACGTAAGTCGTTATGTTTAATATGATTCTTAGGATTTAAAACGCATTATATTCAGCAGTTTAGTTATTCCTGGAAAGAACGTTAAGAAATAATAGTTGTGGACCGCATGAATACAGTTATATCACATTATAGTTCACCATATTACAAGAGGATAATCCCACCTACACTGGTGGCAATCGAAACCGAGAGTGAATTTCAAGGTCAAGTCATTAGCCAATCACGATTTGCTGACTTAGTTTTAGTTTTATAAGGCCATACGAGGAAAGGAAGCGCGCTGTTTAATTATGTGTATGGAGTTACTTGTCGAAATGCAGAGCAACCTAAGTGCGGTATGTTAAATCGGTAATAAACATCGCCTAGTAGAAAATCATTTCATTAAGCACTAAAAAAACTCTTATATTGCTTTGATATTTGCCAGGCTCACTTTAACGAGCGACGAGCAAAGCAGTGCTTAAAAATTGGAAATGTTGAGGGAGCTATCCATTATTACAAAAAGGCAATTGGTGAGCGACATTTTGCTACATTCTTTTTTGGTCATTTAGTGCTATCTCAGTCTTACCAGGCACATAAAAAGGTTTATTCTTCTTTAAGCACTATTATAATAGTGCTTACTATAAATAATAGTATTAATTGGTTTCTCACTTAAGCATAATGAATGCATCAGTAGCTGTATTGCGTTTATTCTCAACTCTTAATGACGAATACGATTCATGATGATTAGTTCTGTTGATTCCTTGGAAGTCGTTTTGAAGGCACTTAGTGTTGTTGACGGCCATTGTAGTTCAATTTCTCCCTAGTTTCAACGCTCAAAAAACAGTATGCTTTTACTATAATCTTGTTTCGTTTTTTCCTTTATGAAACCTTGTATTGATGACAGTTGCAATAGTCTCAGTGACTCTGGTTTGGTCTCTTAGTTGTGAATATTAATAGTTAACTTATATACTTATTTAAATGAGGCTTATGTGTTCATATGGTGTAGTCAGGTTCCAACGTACTTAAAGCTCAGTTTGTAAACCTATGGCAGTTTTTGTTGATTAACAATACTATTTTCTTGCTCCGTCAATCAATTTTCCAGTAGTTTGCATATTGATCTTAAGTGCTCTGTGTAATTTACACATACACCCCATCTCTACTGCTAGATAATATTTCACAGAGTTTCTGAATGCCTGATGGCTAGGATATATATTCGTGAATTTGTATTATTATCAAAAAGAATATCCTTTGTTCAGTAACCATTCTGGAAAATATTATGGGCATTTTTAATCGGTTAAAATTCAAAAGAGTGAAACCTGTCGAATTTACATGGATTATTGGCTCCGTCTTGTCGATTTTGCTGGTATTATCCAAATAATTTCTCTTACAAAAGAATATAACACTTTAAGTTAATAGAACTAAGAAGTTACACATAAAATGGCCCCTACATGCAGTATTATTACCCCCAGACGTCAACATTGGCAGCTTATTTGACCTTGTAAAGTCATTATTTAAATTTAAAACCTATAGTTTGGATGTTGACAAAAGAATAACGAAGAATAAGTAAATAAACCAAAACCTCATTGCCCGACATATTCTTGTCCTCGTTATTTATGTGACGACTACGCATACATGCCTGACCAGACATTGCTGTAATAAACTTGTTTCAATATTTTGCAGTAGCTTATTTTGACCTGGTGTGGAACAACGTCATTCTTTCAATACGTTACATTTTAGAACATTTTGAAGAAGTAAACACAAGGACTAACTGAAACCCACAGATCACTTTTAAATAAGTTTACACACATCCGGTTTAACTTTAAACAAACTTGGTAAATCTAGTTATTTATTTTCGAATCTCTTGCCTTTCTGTCAAGCTTTCATGGAATTAACACGAGAAGAGGTTGAAGAAGAAGACCATGACTATGTGGTCATTGATTTGCAGTTATCAGCCCTAAAACTAAATTTAAGTGAAGTCATATCAAAAAAGACAGCAGTAATATCCAGTGAACAGAATGAAACTTTAAAAGCGATATCCAATCTTAAGTCATCTAATGGCAGAAAATCACTAGATTCTGAACCATTGCCCTTAAATGAAGCATCAAGTGAAAAAGAAAGGAGCAGTGCCATTAAACTACCTAAAACTGAATTTCAGACCCGTGAAGAATTGGTCACATGTATTGAAGAGCTTCGAAAGTTGGTAAGTTTTCGTTTCATTCTACTTTGAAATACAAGATTCGATATATATATATATATATATATATTAAAAACTAGTAAATGGTATTGAACTTTTTATATGCAAACTGGGTCTCCTTGTTAGTTAATTAGGGCGTATGTAGTTGGGTGGAACTATTTCGAATTCCCTTAGTTAATTTTGTCAGTGATAAATCATCAGCCTTAAACGTCTTTACCGACAACATAAATTTATTAAAACACAAGCTTGCTACATTATGGGCACCAGGAGACGAGCCATTTAGTCTCTTAGTTATAGTATAACGTCCTGCTACTTTGACTCGTTTACAATGAGACACAACTTTTGCAACTTCAGATACTGTTTTCATACTCTTTAGAAGGTTGGGTCGTGGTTATTTGTAAGGCTGGTGTAGGACATTTGGGTTTCTCAAAATCTGCATACCTTCCCAGCTGTCTGTCCTAAGAAGCTGGGATAATTCCCTCCTAAAATTCAATCTTTCTCTTCGATTATTTCACTTACTACAGGTTTTTTTAAAACTCGTTTAAGTTGGCAGTGGTTTTCAGTGACTAGGAACGATACTACTACTCTGTCTAAAATCGCAAACGATGGTAAAGTAGCAAAGAAAACATAAAGAATCTGCTTTTGTATTATCGGTAGTGGAAGAAAAGTTAAAGATTAACGTGGGTGGTGAAGGGACGAATTTTGTGTGCCTACGGATCTTGCTTCCAAACTGCCTATACAGTAGTAGGTTTCAACACCAATAGCAGTGATTCAACCAAAAGCTTGCTGCTTTTTACTTATGCTTTATTTAGGCACAGCCCTAAATTAGCTTAGGTAGATCCACTACACATATTTAAATATGAAGGATATTCTAAATAAGCAATCTTTAGTATAAATTAATGTTGGTATTCTGTTGCGTGACTCATGTTTTAAAGTATCCCATCATTTTCTTCATATATAGTTTTTACATTATTTTGATACTACATATTGTTAAACCTTTTCAGGTAGACATGTTAACATCCCAACTGAGTCGAGTTCGTGAAATGCTTACACAAGAACGTGAGCATCGTCTTGCAATAGAAGCTGAACTGATATCATCTGGCGCCTATGCTTGCCAATCTAGTAGATGTTTCTCCTACGACGAATATGATAATGATGATGGTTTTGATGAAAATCGGCCATGCATTTTTACAGATCTTCCAGCACACAAGTGTTTCGATGAAAAAACAAATGTTGTACAATCCGCTGAGACAGATTTCCCTACTGTAAATTCAAATATGCATTGCTCTCCCCAAGAGTTATATACTTCCAAGACAGATTCATTGAAAACTAACTAGTTCTCTGTGATACTTCACTCATAATGTTTTTACACCTTTTTACTGGGTTTTATCCTGTGTTTGACAGTTGACCCGGTGTTTCATTCAGTGAAAGCACAAAGTTTTGCACCTGATTTCTTGCAGTCCTGCTTACTACAGACAATCTGGCATGTGAACCAACGTCCTAACAAGGGATCTCTGAGATATTCTACAGATAACACTGTATATTTTCACAGTATTATGCATTTGACTTTATCTACAGCTTTTTTGTATGTATTTTTATAATATCCAGCTAGATGACAGCTAATAACAAGCTTTTTCCTTTATTTCTCTGCATTCAATAATACGACTAGTGCATGTATTGTCTTTCAAATTTTGACCGAAATTATGCATCCATCTTTTTCCTTTCAACTGCATGGTCATTAAAAAGATTTTTGTCTTTCACAGAACACTAATACCATTAGTTCAATTATGTTAACTGAAATCGATCGAACTTTGTTAATTAAATAAAACTTGGAGAAATATTACTTTTGATATTCGAAGTTATCTGCCAACTAAATCCTTGGTACGGGAATTACATGAAAGACCCACTGAGGCACCAAATCTTTCCACTTTATAATGCGACCTGCTGTATGAACAACTGCAGTCATCAGCTTCATTAATTCTCGGTTCAGTGCGTATCCTGACATTTTTCGGCAGAAATTACTCAGTGGACATAACAAGTGTTCTAAATGAGTTTTGCGAACATTAATAACCTCAAATCCAGGCTCTCCTCTGAATCATCCAACCCATTAGTGTGGTATTTTAATCAAGTGACAAATGTTTTGGTTGGGTAACAATTTTATTGTACTGCAGGGTTATTTACTCCTCCACTCTTAGAGTGATCTACCGTTTTTAATAACTCCCCGGCCGATAACTGCTACCTTGCCGTGGTGGTTGGGCTTGAATGCCGCAGTGACCCAACAAGCTAAACTGTCTGGGACTCATGTCCGTGCAGGTCCTACCATGCCAGGAAGGTTGTTTGGATAGCGGTTAGACTAAAAGCAGTTACCATGGGGTACATGGGCCCCATAATCCAATCGGACCAAATGGCGTATGAACCCATATAGGTCACCGGCAACCATGGGAACGCAGCACCTGACGCTGCTCCGCTGCCTTGCGGATTAGACTCCAAGTCAAAGGCTCGGGGTTGGTCCCTTAAGAGAACCACCTGCTTCGGTCTGGGCGCCCGGGCAGTATCTTAGCCCTCACACAATAAATGAAATGAAGCAACAAACTGTTATGGAAACTCACCGCGCGCTCGTAAAAATGATTTCAAGAAATTATGATACCTCAAGCAACTTATGTCCTTCCAACCTTACTTTTATTTTTATACTTAGATTCCTGTATTTTACCTTTGCTCATCTTGACTTCTTAACCTTCGACAGCCTTTCGCCTTTGTCTGGATTCCTAGCCTATCTGTGTCGTTTCGAGATGTTAGTGAGTAACCCTCAAAATGGTTGTCCCCAATGTGACATCTAACACAGATATCCTGAAACCGCGTGCCGCCTTCAAGCTGGCCACCTACAATGTTCGGACGCTGATGCAAATCGGACAACAGGCAGGGTTGGTAAGAACGTTGGAAAGCCTCGCTATCGATGTCTGCTGCATTTCGGAGACTCGCATTCAAGATCCCAGTGAAGTGCTTTGATTACCCTCTCCATCTGGAAGTTCTAGTAGTATGTACCACCTGCGCTTGTCCGGGGACCCTGTGGCGTCGGCTTCCGGCGTAGCGCTGAGCGCTAGAGCCGAAGCTGCACTGCTCGACTGGATTCCCATTAACAGTCGTTTATGTGCTGTGAGGCTGGAAGGTTATACGAAAGTAAGGAGTAGTAGGCCAGATAGGCGGTGTCTATTTGTTGTCTCTGCCTATGCACCAACGGATTGTAGCCCGGATGCAATGAAGGACGAGTTCTACCACCAACTTAGCGATCTCTTGAGACAGGCGGGTCGGAGGGATGTCGTAGTACTCGCTGAGGACTTGAATGCACAGGGGCGTCTGGGCTCAGAGGAGAATCGTCTAAGTGGTCAATGGGGACTACATGGTCGCAGGACAGATAATGGGGACCGTCTTCTGCAGCTTTGCGCGGATCACAACCTATTTCTGGCCAGCACCAACTTCCGGCACAACCATCGCCGTAGCGCTACCTGGCGTCCTCCCTCTGCGAAGCAAGCTTAGACTCAGATCGATCACATTGCTGTCAGTTTCCGGTGGCGAGGATGCATACAAGACTGTCGCTCCTTCTGGAGCACATGCCTGGACTCCGATCATGCGTTAGTGTGTGCCAAGTTCGTCTTGCGATTTGGTGGGGTTCATAAAAGGCGTCGTCTAAACGTTGATGTGGGCAAACTAGTAGCACCTGCTACTTCTTTGAAATATCAGAATGAGTTACAGTCAATGCTTGCCAGCAACCCGCCAAGTAGTGTAGATGAACATTGGCTTCATCTGCAAGGTGCCATGCAAAGAGCGAGTGTAGCCGCTTGCGGCTTGAAAGAATGCTCCGCCAAAAACCACTGGGTTTCTGCGAGTTCCTTGCAACTCCTGGATGAATGCCGGTCCATTCCGGCTGGCAGCGAATACAGCAATAAGCGAAAGGCGCTGACGCGCAAGATAAGACAGTGTTTACGTAAGGACCGCGAAGCCTGGTGGTCAGAACGTGCGGGTGAGATGGAGGCAGCTGCTGCATCTGGCAACAGTCGGAAGCTGTTCCAACTCATCCGAGCCACCGGCAGCAAGAAACAAGGTGTCAGCGAGACGGTCTGTGAGGCAGATGGCACGCCAATTACCAGCTTGAAAAGACGCCTGGAACGCTGGGCAGAGCAATTCGGGAAACAGTTAAGCTGGCCACCAGCTTCAATGTCTGCTTTCATTAGCCCCAGTGCTCCTTGGTCGGTTAATACCGACTCACCCACCGAAGCGGAGGTCCGTGAGGAACTCCAAGTGTTAAAACGCCATAAGGCGCCCGACCCAGACAATTTACCCCCGACTCTTTTTAGAGATGGTGGCGAGTCTCTCACAATGGCTCCAACTGGGTTGTTCAGGAAGGTATGGGAGACTGAGAGTGTACCATCAATGTGGAACGAAGCCATTATCGTCCCCATCTTTAAAAAGGGTCGACGTAATTCGTGTGACAATCATAGAGGTATCAGTCTGCTACCAGTCGCGTCTAAATTATTGGCTGCTATCTTGCTTCGCAGACTGTGCAAAATACGTGAAGGATTGATTCGCGAAGAGCAGGCTGGGTTTCGTTCAGGTCGTGGATGCATTGATCATGTGTTCACCCTTCGTCAGTTGTTGGAACACCGCCACACGTATTGCAAGCCAACGATCGTTGTGTTTCTTGATATTAGGGCTGCCTTCGATTCGTTGGACAGAACTGTGCTCTGGAACTGTCTGTTAGAGAGAGGTGTACCTGAGAAATTTGTTAACATCTTGAAAGCCCTATACAGAAACACCTCAGGTAGAGTGAGGGCATACAACCAACTATCATCACTGTTCCCAACCAACAGTGGGGTTAGACAGGGTTGTCCAATCTCTCCATTTCTCCTTAACTTTGCCATCGATGACATTCTGGAGTCAGCTCTGAAGGATGTGCGTGAAGGTGGTGTAGATCTGCTACCTGGAGATAGACTTTTCGACCTCGAGTATGCAGACGATATCGTCTTACTGTGCGATAGCATGCAGGCTACCCAAATCGCACTTAATCAGTTGGCGACCAGTGTCTGTAAGTATGGTATGTGCTTTGCACCGTCTAAGTGCAAAGTACTGTTACAAGATTGGCAGGAGCCTGTACCTGCACTCACTCTTGCGGGTGAACCGCTTGAAGTTGTTGATAAGTTTGTGTATCTGGGTAGTTGTGTGACGGATGAGATTTCCAACCGTATAATGAAGGCTAGGGTGGCATACATCAACTTGAGCCACCTCTGGCGCCGTCGCGACGTTAGCCTGGCTGTCAAAGGTCGGGTATACAGTGCTTCGGTGCGGGCTGTCTTGCTCTACGCCTGTGAAACCTGGCCTCTCCGAGTTGAGGATGTGAGGCGACTCTGCGTGTTCGATCATCGCTGTCTCCGCAGGATTGCTTGCGTTCGATGGCATCATCGCGTGAGTAATTCTGAGGTTCGGCGGCGTGTGTTTGAACACAGTGGAGATCACCATTCATTGAGTGTCGTCATTTGGAAACACCAGCTCCGGTGGCTTGGACATGTGCTGCGAATGTCATCACAGAGGCTTCAGTACAGGTCTCTGTTCGCTAGCCCTGGGACGGGATGGAAAAGGCGGAGGGGTGGTCAGTCCATGACGTGGCGTCGTGGGATGAAGGATTTTTGTGCTAGATTAGCATCGGTTGGTGTGTCACGACTCCCTGGTTGGGGTCCGCGAGATAGCTCGAATCGATGGTTCGAAACGTTATCGGATATGGCCAAGAATCGTAATCAATGGCGAACGTGTTGCAATTTCCTTCTTTCCTCCCTTCCTGATGATAGTTAACGAATACTGTTTGAACTTGTTAAACATGACTGTTTTCCTTCCAGATGAAGTACTTTATCCGTTTTTTACTTATATTTTTAATTTTAATCTATGCTGTTTATTATTATTGTGTGGCGCATCTTTCTTGGTGCCATATTGTACCAAGTTTTTCTGCGTTTAAATAAATAATAAATATTTTAATAACTTGATCTCATGCTTGTTTTGAGTAAAATAGTGTACATGTTTTAAAACCGAAAACCAGCAACAAAAACCAGATGCTCTTAGTCAAAAGCATTTATTGAAACACATACTTCTTAATTCATCTTAAGTGTTTCTGAAATTCTGTTGAACAGAAAACTTCATCCGTTGGCCTGAATGAATAGATAGTGATATATTCTTTACCCGTGTACTAAGCAGAAGTATCAGTTAGATTGAAAATGTACTGTATGCTTATCACAGGGTTTGTGTTGTTTCATATTGCAATACATCATCTGGCATGATACGGATAATTTGCCTGGTACTTAGTACCTGAAGATAATCCATCTAAAACTGATCTTGCGTTTATATTTGTTGCCGCTCATTATTAATGTGTGTCTGCACTTTCTAAGGAACTGATAGCATCTTACAAATCGTTTGTATCAATACATTTCACCTTTACAGTACACGTATGAAAGTTGCTGTCTAATATGTGATATTGCTACCTTGCTGACTGTTTACACAAAGCCTTGTTGGTGAAGTAAGTCGCATTCTTCAAGTTAATTTTCTCTTCAACAATAGACAATATTGAGGCATTATATACTGCTTCACGAAAGAATAACTTCTGAGTTATTGGCTACAGGATTTCATCATGAGCTGACATCAGCTAGAGAACCATTGGAAAACCTGCAGGGAGTACTGGACAGTTGTTTCGTCGTAGTTTGGGGCTCTTCAGCAGTACGCACCCACCGGGGTTCGAACCCAGGACCTTCCGGTTACAAGGCGAGCTCGTATGCCATTAAGCCACTGGGACCCGATCCAATGGTC